GTTACAAAAATAATTGTTAAATTCATCTGCAACTTCTTTTTTATCAGTTATTTCTGAATTAGTTTTATTTCTGGTTTACTCTCTTGGTCATTGGTGGCCTCTCTAAGCACATTCCACAATTTTCCGGGGTTATCCAAATTTTTTTGTGTTAAATACTTGTAATAATTATACTTCACTTTCTTGATAAGTTTACTTAAAAATTTCCTGTATTCCTGATACCTGTTTAAAACTACGAAATTGCTGGGATTTAGTGCACATTCCCTTTTAAGGAGGTTTCTGTTTCGAACAGATATTAGGAGCCCACCAGTGAAGGTGAAGTGAAGGTTTTAATTTCTTTTTTTTATTGGGTATAGGCCTAGTTATAGTGGCTTTCAAAATTATGTCTTTTAGTCTATTAATGAAAGCCTCTGTGCAAAGCTCTACATTATTTTCTTGTAGAACATCACCCCACAACTATCCGTTTAGTTTTTGTGTGATATTTTCATAATCTATTTTTGTAAAAGTATTAATTTCATTTGTAATGCCCTCACCTAATCTATCAAGCTGAATATTAAGGAGAATGGGGTGATGATCTGTAAGGTCGCTCTTCAAAATCACAGCCCTAACCTTTTCAAAAACATTACTCTTACATTTAATAAAAAAGTGATCCAAACAAGTCCCACTGTTATCAGTAATTCTTGTTGATTTATTAATTGCACTCATTAACCCATAGCCTTGCAATAAAGTCAAATAGTTATTTGCACACTAAAGTAACAAACAAGTAAATAAGTGTCAACAAAATTTATTTACAGTAAATACATTGTTATCATAGTATTTGCATCAATTATGGCCTGAAGCCACCGTGGTATGGAAATTATTTCTGGCCCAATTTGACCCCATTCATGCGTAAGAACCTTTTGTAGCTGTTGTTTGGAAGACATTTTTCTATATCGGCCCTTCAGGTCCAGCAAGCACCACAAACGCTTAATGGGATTGCAGTGGAGTTTCGAGTTGTACAGAAGCAGTGTAAAGTAACCCTTTCTTGTTTTAGTAGCGATCTGCTTAGAATCACTTTCCTGCTGAAAGCCAAATGTATCCCTGATCCCCATTTTTTCATTACTGCTGTGCAAGTTATTCCGCAAAACGTCTGCATAACTGTTTACATTCATAATACATTCGATGAAGCTTAGCCTTCCAACACCATTCCACGACATGCAGCCCCAGATTGAATCGATCCTGGTACCATACTTCACTGTTGGGCTATGTTTCGTTTCAAATTAATTGTTAGGTTTTCTCTATAGATATTTGCGACCATCAGAGCCAGAATGTTGAAGATCAAAGTAATATTGAGTCTTCGATTCTGATGATGGCAAATACGTATGAAAAAAACCTAACACTTAATTCAAAAATGACACATGTCAGCCCATCAGTGAAACATGGTGACATGAACACTTTAGCATTTTAGTCTGGGACTGCATGTCGCAGAATGTTGCAAGGCTAAGTTTCATCAAAGTCATTATGTATGCAACAAGGTATATAACTTGAACAGGAGCGCTGAAAAAAAATGGAAATCGATGAAACATTTACCTATCAGCAGGATAATGATCCTAAGCCCACAGCCACCAAATGGAAAGGAATGGTTACTTTACAATGTTCCTGCACAGTCTCCCAATCCCTGAATACCAATTCCATTAAACATTTGCTGAACTTGCTGGACCTGAAAAAATAAAATTTCTATCAACCAATAGCTTCAAGATGTTCTTATGCAGAAATGACACCAAGTTAGACCAGAAATGACTCAGAACTTCCATGCAACGATAGCTTCAGCTGTAAAAAAATTTTAAGGCTTATTTACTTGGTTGTTTATTTTTAGTGTGCTAATATAATACTATTTTGATCCTTGAATTTCATAATTCCTATTACAATTCTTATATAACTTTTAATCTATTGCCGTCAAACATTATTACTTCAAATAAATGTAGTAACCAACTGGCTCAGCCTTTCGTTATTGACAGTCCAGAAAAAAAATGCGATGTGTAAATACTTATTTGACCCAGTACAGTTAAACATACGAAAAGCAGAGCATTATTCTGATAACGATTTCTCCAGTTGGATATTTGGTTGGCTACTGCTATTTGCATTTTTGCTACCACACGGTGTCTGACTATTGTTTGAAAGATGTTTTCTGCCGTCTAATTTACAACTTATACGACAAAATGCTGAGAAAAGTGCTTGCTCCATTTTGATTTACAGTGAGCAGTCAGGCGGTGAGATTTGATTTTTGGTACAGAAAAAGAGTTTTTGATTCAGGTAAACTTTTTGTTGATACTCTTGTATTATTTTCTCACAAGACAAACAGCATGGTGCCCTTGAGATGTCGAAGAATTATCTTATTTCTCGCAATTCGGTACATAGACAATGCTGATATAGCATCAGTGGTTGAACGGTCCACGACGGTCAAGCGATGTGTTGCTAACATTTCTGGGTGGGCTTTCGTGTACTGGAACTAGCCTGGCGCTTTTGGGGCTATGAGCGAAACAACGAATAAAATGAATGTCTTTTTGGAGCGGGGATGAATACCCTTGGTAGTCTCAGACTTTGTTGGTTGTGCACGGTGCCAATTCAACGTTGACTTCGCGCGATCTGGGCGTGGTACAGATACGCTGGGGCTGTTATGGAATATAATTATATCGAGGTGGCCAAAACAACTTGACTGTCATCTGGAAGAAAGATATTGAAGATATATTGTCATTGAGACTTTCGGATCTGTACTTGATGGCTGAAAGTAAATTTTCAACTCTACTTATGTTGTTTTATTTGGCGGCATGCGAAACATGAGGATATCTCAGCAAAATAATCTTACGAAAGTTTCAGAAGACACTAAAGCGTTACGCATTGTAAAACTCCAAACATTTTTTGAAAGAAGAACGGCTATACTGGAGGAACACATTCCAAAGAAAGTTGATGCTACGACTTGATTGATATTAGTATTTTCCGTCAAGAGTGAGACAGTATTTTTAGGGCCCATTCTTTCTATTATTTACCTCCTGAAGCAGAGGCAGTCTCTGTGTCTACCGGGAGGTATCGTATCTCCTCAATGGATGAACTGGTTTCAGTTCGGTTTTCTGATCGAAAGTCTAGGTTTGATGAAAAGCGGTTCAGATGTTAAAAAGTTATACTTCTTTCGCTATTCTAAGCTGAGTGTAGATAAGAGACGCACATGATTAGGGATGTAGCAACATTCTGAATAATGTTTTTGTACAAAAGATTGCTGCTATTTTACTATTTTCTACTTTATGTAGGTACTATTTTATCTGTGACGTCCAAGTATTAACACGAGAGTAACTTGATGGTCAAGGCCTTTTTAATATGTTTACCAAATAATTTGTGAGAAGAGTTCCATCCTGTATCCTATGTACCCATATTAGCCGTGCGACAAGACAAATTACAAGGCATCCATGAATACATAAACTGAAATGACTGAATAAATGTAGCTTGTTCGTTCATTCCGCAATACATGTATAGAGAATGAAGTCCGATCTAGTGTCTCTACTGGAGCCAGATATCCTTGCCTTAAAGTTAGTAGGCTTCTGGGATACTTCGAAAGATGTACAAACTTTTTTCAACCGATACTGCTATAAAATTTACAGAGGTAACTTTCAAATTTAATTATGCGAAAAACGCTTAAAGTATATTCAAATGATGTAACAACTATATTTACAAGCCTAGTGTTACCAACTGAACGTTATGAAATACCAAATAGTCAACAAATCTTTTGAAATTACAATAACTTTTTCCAATGTAAGGACTTATAAGCTTCGTAGGTGTACACCAGTATGTCAAAATTGAGCAGTTATCCAGGCTATGACCAGAAAACACAAACTTACGTGGGGTTTTCCTGTTTCTGCATAATATTCTTATCACTCGAAATTTCATCAATCATGTAAAAATGTCAATTGTATGAAGGCTGTTACAGATTGTAATCATGTTAAGTCAAGGGCAGGCTCACCATGTAAAAGTGTACGTCACTGCTTTTTGCAAAAAAACCCAATCAAATCCGTGTTCGTTATGTTTGGAAAAGCATTGATTACTAAGTTTTAATAACGCTAATCACAGTAATGTGTCCTGGTTAATTAAAACTTTATTTTGAAAATCGTGCGTCCAAATGAAAATCCCAACAGTCAGTTTTCAAGTTGAATCATTTTGATTATACGATGCTTATTCGAATTTTTCACAAAGACCAATAACGCCGTTTTTTTGTTAAACAAGGAGCTTGTGGGGATGAATGCTACTAAGCGGTTTAGAAATTATTATTCTACACGTTTATGACCTCTGAGAATACATTTGCGTGAACGGAAGCTGGTCTCAATAACTCGATATGTTTGCTCTTGCTTCCTGACTACTGACTGGAATATATTGGAACAAAACAAATCGCATGTTTCAATCTGTCTAGTCTAAATTAGTTGGTTTTCGAGAAATGTAAGACGATTTTAGTAGCAGACAACACATATTAGTTTTTTCTTATATTCCAACGTGCTGAATCTGCCCTTTAACCCAACAGAAAACACTCTGGAGCTAGCATAGGAAGTTATCTGATTAGTTATGGTCAAAATCTATTGAATGGATAACCCAAATTTTATCAAAATACAGATAGTTAATAAGAATTATATAAGTATAAGAAATAAGAAATGCCTCTGTAAGAGCTGTGGAGCAAAAAAATATACTGAAGCTTGAAAGTGATGGAAATCAGATTTTGTGGAATGGGCAAGATTTGAGTCTTCAAATGCAGCAAACTTACCTCTGAATAATACCAGGAGCGGAGCATTGCATTTATCTTCGAGCGACAATAATTGATCGAACTAAATAATTCTGTTTTTGGGGAAAATCATTCGATCTACTGTGGCACATCAAAACATTACTTTGAGCGATTTTTTATAGCATTATTGTTTTGATCATACACAACTTTTCGATTTCGCCGTACCAAAAGACCAATTTTTTACTTATCCAGGGGTGATTGTCGTGTCGTTAATCATCTATCTAACATGTGGCTTCATGTATTTATACGATAAGCGAGAAACCCTCACAGTAGCTGACTTCAATTCAGTAATGTTCATCCATACAACCAACGTGACTAACCCGATGATGGTAGCTTGCATTTTCTTGAACAGCGAACATCTCCATGCTATGATATGTCAACTAGAATCAGCAGCATTCCAGCCTAACAGTCATAAGGAGTATTTGGTAAGGATACTGTAAGACACAACATGGTACAGTATTTCTGATCCTAATTGAAAAGGATAAAAAAACAAAACATTCAAAATTATTGGGAAGGCGTCACTTATTGACTTCCTAATAAAGAAAAACTGATATGAGCATAGGTCCGCAATGGTTTAGTTTTTCACTACAGGACAGGTGTTGAATTTACAAGAAAAACGCTTAATTTTTTATCTTCAAAAGTACTTCAACCGTTATCTTTAAATTTAGCATATTGTAGGATGATGTACAATGAAATGGCATATTTGAATATTAAAAGTTCTTCAATTTATTTTCTCGATTTACTACATAGATAGAAGGGGCTAGGATCTTATGGATGGCGCTGTAGCCAACTCCGAGCATATACGATCACGTAGACGGCACCATCTATGAAATACTAACATTTCCGTAGTATATACAGTAGATAGAGAAACATATGTGACATATTCCCATAGATGACACTACGATAACTCATTTTATCGTGGACAATTTTTTGTGCACCAGAATATAGAATTTGTTTGACTTGTAGTAGAATGCATTAATCAATGATCCTTGCAGACATGTATTTAAAAATAATGACTGGTAAGCCACTGATACCTTTTATTGTGGTTATTACCAAATGCCACCTTGCCGTTTTAGTCAAAAAAGGTTTCTATGCATAACTGATCAATGCTAGAAAAAACATTCACCTTGGAAAATATTACTGGCGTACCAATTCCAATTGTTTAAAATGTCAAACACATGTTTGCAGAAGCGCCACTGGTGGTGCAATAGAATAATTGTTTGCACTTAAATATGTCATTTTATATGAAACACTAAAGATAAAAATGCTGCATAAAGTACTTTCAAAAATATAAAAATAATGTTTTTCTTAAAAATAGTTGCTAAAAATTTAAGACATCGCGGACATCAGCTCATATGAGCTTTTTTCCCTTTTTTCATAAAATTATTTGATGAGTCATATCCTGGAGTATTAGCACATAACTAAGGAACACTCTGTATACATAGATGGTACGATAGAGCATAAAATAGCTGAATCTTAACTCACTGGTTTTGTACGAAAACGCTACAGAGGACCAACTTATTGGTGCATTAATCGAGCGTTGCAAATCCTGCATCCAGCCTGCAAAAAATGGCGTTATGGAAACCATTTGACTCAAAGGAATTTGGACGACATCTAGAATCTCATACTGACGACCATTTAAGCTATACTGGGTGTGAGGAAATTAATATGCATATTGAAATGTTAGGCAGTATGTACCAAGACCGCGTTTAAAGCTCACTCTGGCAGTCTGCTAAAAAAGCGAAAATCGAAGAACAGAATCTGCTGTTGTTACATCATAATGTTGCCCACGCCATCATTCTGAGACCTCATTTGTAAGAAACTGCCAGTTTTGTGCAAGTGACTGTCAAGAGGTTTCGGAAGAGATGAGGAGCCCCTGCCTCAGTCCATACATCTGAGAAACCGTTTCTAGTGCCTCGTGGTGAACTTTTTTTTAGGCCCTTTAATTTTGGAAGCATTGCCCGCCACAGTTCTCTACCATGTATAAGGCAAACTTTTTTTTTGCTTCTCCAATTAGGTTTAGAAATACGGACCACATATGACAATGTAAACAACCAAATGGAAAAATTGGATACATTTGTAGTATATATATGAGTGGAAGAGAAGCGGGTACTTCATTAAAAAACTGTTCTATGGAGTGAACGGTTTCCTATGCAGCTTTCTACCAATAATAGCAATACTTCAGGGCAAGACTGCTCCATTGACTACTTATATTCCTCCATGGATCCACTGGAGGGTGTATTTTTGGTTTCAGTCCACTGTTACAGTATACAATTCTACAATGGCTTCCATATACGTATCAATTCTTTGCACCCTGTTAATAGAGGCCATCATACAGGTAGCATGTTTGAAAGAGCGACTTGAGTCTATTGAGGACAGGCGTTGTTTGGAGGAATGCATTGATCATTATTCTGAGATAACTACGTAAGTACTATATATATATATAGAATACAGGGTGGCCCATCCATGTGTGGACGGAATATTACTCATAAATAAATACATTTTGGAAAAATATATTTATGGGATGTTATACATGACATTTGAAGCATATTTCTAAAATATTGACTATTATACAGGGTGTCCCAATTACGACCTACATATCAAAGTTGTGATTTTTCAAATGGAATGCCTCAAATTTTATAGCATATTTGGATAGATCAATTCAAAGGAAGAAAATTGATATAACATATATACTATGGGGATTCGGTAATTAGTTGCTGATATATAAGGTGTTTTGTCTAGAAAAACCTCCCACTTCGGCAACCCCTCAGTCCGCCATTTTGAAATTTGTAGTGCTGAATTTTGTATCAAAAAAAACTTTCACACCTCGGCTTTTATCTTATTTGTTACTTTTTCGAATTTTAATTTTTGCTCATACACCCTGTCAAAAACGCAAATTGTAGTTTTTCTCAAAAATTTCAAATGCATCACCCTATATATTTGTGTAAGTTTGGCTTCAATTTTTATAAACTTTTTTTTGATACTAGACACAACGGACTAATATGCGACATCCAAGGCAGGAACATTTTCCACACTACAAGAACGTTTTGAATCAAGTGGAGCAGTGGAATATAGTAAAAAATGTATAAATAATCCAAGTGGAGGAAGACATTTTGAACAGTTGTTATGATATCATGTACAAAAGGCATAAATTAAGTTACACTGAATAACCCCTACAAGTTTGATCCCATAGTTCTGAAACACCCTGTATAGATATCCACCATCTACCCCGGAAAATATGAAACAAAAGATTAAGGAACTTTTCTGAACATAAGCGATGCTGAGGCATGTGCAACGGTCATTTATCCAAAGACTACGGCTGTGTATTCAACATGGTGGAGATATTTTCGATCAGTTTTTGTAGATTGGGTCTTGGGTAGTGATAGTTGTTTGTTTATGTTGTTGCTATAGTTGTTTTTCTCTATACGCTCCAAGCTGATTTATACTGTTCTGATTATAACAATAATAATAATAATAATAATAATAATAATAATAATGATAATAATAATAATGATAATAATAATAATAATAATAATAATAATAATAATAATAATAATAATAATAATAATAATAATAATAATAATAATAATGAAATGTCTTTATTGGGCGAAGTTTGGCATAAGCTATTCTGATTATTATTAGTTTTTACGTCAAATCTGTACTCTTAGTGGCAATATGGACTAGCCCACTGTTTGTCATTTGTTTCCATGGATGATATGATTTTTTTCCTTCATTTTGGTGTGTTGTTCTACTAAAATCTTAATAGCTCAAAATCCAGTGATTTTATCTGAATCAAACCTTATGCCAAAAAAGCTTATAAAAAATTGCATCCAAACTTGTACAAATATACAACAGGGTGATGCATTTAAAATTTTTGAGAAAAAGTAATAAAAATTCGGAAAAGTAACAAATAAGATAAAAGCTGAGGTGTGTAAGACTTTTTTGATACAAAATTCAGTACTCTAAATTTCAAAATGGCGGACTGAGGGGTTGCCGAAGTGGAGGGTTTTTCTAGATAAAACACTTTATATCTCAGTAGCTAATTACCAAAACCCCATAGTATGTTATATCAATTTTCTTCTTTTAAATTGAATTTGAGGCATTCTATTTGAAAAATCACAACTTTGATATGTAGGTCGAAATTGGGATACCCTGTATAATGGCCAATACTTTAGAAATGTGCACTCAAATGTCATGTATAACATCTCATAAATATATATTTCCCAAAAATGTATTCGTTTATGAGTCATATTCCGTCCACGCATGGATGGGCCACCCTGTATATATATAACTGCCAATTCTAAGGGGTGTTGATAACGTGCTGATTTATATGTACTTGTTAAACATGCCGCGAAGTGGCAAAATACCCAAAAACTTGGCCAACACCGTTAATCTGCAAAAGAGTGGTGAATACTGCCTATGGCTTTTTTTCATCTGACTATTCATTTATGTAAGCTCGATCTTAGCAATTGTAACAAAAAAATCTTTTTTCGGCTGTGGGCACAAATATTTTGCCATGAAATTGTATGTCAAATGCTGGACAATATAAATATCATTTTCCAGAAAATATATGTTTTTCAGTAATCACTCGGATCGTTCTCAACAAGAAAGGCTCTCAGTAACTTTGCTTCTACTTCTTTCTTTTTACTTTTGAAGTAGAAATAGTATAGATTTTATTTTTCTGCACAATAGACTGGGCAGTAGCGCCGACTGTTATTACTCTCAAGTTTAATTTGTTGTTTAAACTGCTGTATACAGGGTGTAAACGTTATGATAGTCATTATTTAAATGGGCGATAGAGGGGGTTAAAAGAAGCAAAAAGTTTCATATAACATGGGGGTCAAAGAGGCATTTTTTAAAGTAAAATAAAATCTGACAACGCCGCAATGCCAGACGAAAATTACGACGGAACGCAGTGTAAATAAAGATGAGAGTTTGTTATTTTTGTCTCTTAGGTATTATTTCATTATTTGATAATTTACTCGTAAAGTGCAAACAATTAAAAAAAACGGACTTACCACTGTCTCAGTGCTTCACCTGGTGTGTGAAAGTTTATTGAACCTATTAAAAATCCACTTATAAATGGGGAACACAATTTTGATACATACATTGTTTTTCACACTGCACTATTTTTGTATTTAAGGAAGGTGTTCAAAATGTCGTCGTCCACTTTCCACAAAAGCTTCATTACGACGAACCCAGTTTCTTCTTACTCTAGGTCCTCGAAGTTGTCCATTTATTATTTCAGCCGCATGAACATTTTTTTCGCAAACAAAACACGCCCGATGCCCGACAACTAACCACTGTTACCGTTTGCGATCTATTGCGGGTTCGATAAGAGTGATGACGAGGCGCTGTTGTCATGTGTGTTTGAAATATTTAGTTTAATGAAACTGACTTACTTAATGACTACAAATTTTGGCTTAACTTAGAAAAACTTAATGCCATTTAGTTGCTAATTACCCAATTCAAAAACGTTTTAGATTAGATTATAAAAATTAGTAAGATTGTGGTGATTGTGGTCGATATAAAGCACTTAAAGTTGTAAACTATGATGCCATTCAGACAAAAATCTATTGACTTTTGGACCATGGGTCATATGAGCTTTTTGACTTGTTTTGACCCCCCTATTACCCATTTCAATAATTACTACCATAACGTATACACCCTGTATATATCATAGCTTATAGCGCTACCTAATAAGTAAATACTTATCGTTCGATTACAAACTCTGAAACGCCTATACCTAGAGAAACGAGAAATTTATATGGAATGAGGAGAATCCCATTGGTTACTTAACAGTACACCAGTTTGTTCTTGGCATAAGAAGACACAGTGCAAACATTGTGTCATAAAAAGCTTTAGGCACAGACGTCACGAGCTTTCTACTCGCAACAACAGTAGAATCATGGTCGACGGCAAAACTCTGCCTAGAGCAGCATTTAACTTCCGATGCGGAAACTATAAGACTGGAAATCAAATAAGAACCAGCTTCCCATTTCCTCTCTTAGCAAGTTTGTCAGTTAGTACCTCTGATTTTATAATCTTTACTATTTCGGATTCTGAAAACCGTTGTTGACCCATTGAACAAATCAGCTAATTAATTCGGCGCTTTGCTCGAATTAACTCTCACAAACTACACTATTAGATGAGTACGTCGGGCCTATCTTTAATAATTAATATCACCTTGATCGAAAACCAGATCTCATGAGCCCTGTTGGTACAGCTGTTGCCACCTTGTCAGTGATCGTGTCCAAGAACCTGCCACAGAAATTCCGTTCATTCTGCTACGCTATATTAGACAGAATTTACAATGCGGCATCCCAGACTCGCATCAACACTTTAAGAGAGCTTTCCTCGGCCCTGGTCAATTTGTCTTCAGAACATGGTATACCCATCTCGGTTATAAGAGTGGTTTTGTTTAATCCCGGTTTAGGATATTTTTTAATTAATGATTTGGCTCTTTCTATGTCAAAGCTCCTGCCTTGCGGTTACTAAAAAATTTAAATCATGAGTTCTTGCAAACTCCTTTACTTCATGAAGAAAGGTTGTCACGTGCCAAAATCACGTAGCCTTTTTTTTACTATTTATCACTGATCCGTAATTTGAATTTATCTTGATTGATAATAGAGTACCCATTCCCAGGCCAAACCCCTTTGAATGATTTTCTTTTGGCATATTTAATAGTTTATTGATTGTATAATTTCACTGTAGTTTTTCTCCATTAGTTGGTTTCCTATAAAACATATCTTCTTCTAGAACGTTACGTGTTCCTCGTAATTCGCTTTTCTGTTTCCGTTGAGGTTGTGGTGTTAATTCATGGACTAGCACCCTTTTTTTGTGTAACTTATGTTTAGTCATTTTGGTTTGGGTGCTACGTCTTCCATGTTTTTTATAAAATTTTGACCCTCAGCGTCAATAGAAACAGAAGAGATTCATCATCCTTTCTCCTCCAGTTGGTTGCATTTTCTTGCAGTTTTGCAAATTGGTGGAAGCCATCCCCTTGAAAAAAAAAAACAAGCCAGACATGACCACCGATGGTGGACAGAACAGTAACAAGAATTGTAACCCATATTTCCACCCTTATTCGGAGGTAAGATATAGTTCTACCAGACTGAAAGGTACCAAGATTCGCTTTTCTGTTTTACATTTTTTTATGGGATTTTGATCCTCAGCGTCAATAGAAACAGAAGATAATTTTTTCAAAGGGATGGCTTCCACCAATTTGAGAAACTGCAACAAGATGAAACCAACTGGAGGAGAAAGGATGATGATTCTCTTCTGTTTCTATTGACGCTGAGGGTCAAAATCCCATAAAAAAAAATGGAAGACGTAGCACCCAAACCAAAATAACTAAACTTAAGTTACACAACAAAAAGAAAAGGTTGCTAGTCCATGAATGGGCGCTTGGGGCCTAATATCCCAGAGTCGGAAAACGAAGAAACGACCCCTGCACCACGACCTCAACGGAATACGTTATTTTTTAATTAATGACTTACAGTATATTCAGATAAGAGATAGACCGGATGTAAAC